AACAGCCTCCAAAAAAAATTAAAATATTAACATCTTTCAATAAATTTATTACAAAATAATTATTTAATTTAATATTTTATTGTTTAAATTAATCTTTTAATAATTTGGAACAACTTTCAGAACATTCATTCAAACGATTCAGCATTTTTCATTTTAAGACAACATATAGTCGAAAACGATGTAAGAAGTTTGATATGTTTTAAATCATAGAAACAGGGAAAAAAAATGATTTTGTCTCTATTGTAAAGGCAAACAAATAAAATAATAACAGTTTTGATTTTTTTTTTGTTTTCCCTGTGAATACGTGATATTGCTGTGAGTCCACAATATCTTCCGATAATTATTTACCAACGTTCCTTTCCTTTTAGCTTCTATCTGAACATTGTCTCTCAAGTCTCAAGTAAAATTAAAATCAAACATGAGTCACAGTGCATGTATATATGCTACATGCCTACAAATCAATAATATCACATCATCAAAATTAAACCAAGGTTTCTTACAGCAGATGATTTTAACCTCCTTAATCGTTAACCTGAACATTCACATGTAGCAAATACATTATTTTGCATCCATCTACCCCTGGGTTTCTACTTCTGGTTTCAAAGGTTTAACCTACGTGTACTCATGCATCCAATTCACTGACCTTTATCAACAGCTAAATCATTTCATTTTTTTTTTATTATTCTTGACTAATCTCACGTCTTTGAAAATAAGGTTATTTAGGAATTAAGCTTCAATTTCCTCTAAAAATTAGAGAAAATCTCTGAGTTTGGTTGTAGAATTTTAGAAGGAAAGTTGAATGGAAGGTGTACTGACCGTACTTCGCACCCGGGCTCCGAGCCCGGATTAGCGATACAAAGCCACCCCGGGCACACGCTGAGCGACGTCAGCCCGGTATTTGGGGCCCGGTATTTGGGTAGATCATTCCCGAACCCGGGGATCTCGTCCCAGATCAGAACCGCCCTCCAATTATATCATATCATATCTCATCATATCATATCATACCATATGATATCTTATCATATCATGTCTTATCTCATGCCCAAGGCCCAAGACAACCCTAATTCATACAAAGGTATGTGCATTATTTATACGAGACTCATACTCCCACAAACACTAACTTTAGCATCGGAGTCTCTTTTGCAGGTACCACCCCCATCTTGGAGCATCAGCGTACCAGTGAAGGAAGCTCGCCGATCTTACCCGGCGGATCAGCTCTACAGCAAATTTCCGGTAAGAACAGAAGGTAATAAGATTTCATGTCTAATAAATATATTCTCTAATTTAATAATTTTTAAAATAAAATGATAATAACTAACATAATTAAATTAATATTATATATATGCTTTTTATTTATTTATTTCTATAACCATTACATAACTCTATTAATTTTTTTAAAAAAATAATTGTGCTCCGTGCCTTTTTTTTAATTTTTTTTTTACTTTTCTTTCAAAAACCTCATTCTCAATATATTGCTCTTGGTTGACAATGAATAATGAGCACAGGTTTGAATGATTAGTTGCCCTCCATGGTCGTCACTCTTGGACAATGGAGATGACAGAAACTATTACATTTTGAAGATGAACAATCTAAAAACGAAAATAATTATAAAAAATATATATGTTTTCTAAACAATAAAATTTTGAAAGTGAGAAATGTTTTTTAAAAAGAAAATAATAAATATTTTTCACAAATTTAATAGGCCTAATTTGTCTTCTAATTTAATATTTTTAAAATAAAATAAATGATAAATTAACCAAAAAATATATTTATCTTTTATTTAATTTTCGTTAATTATTGTTATTATCTTTCAATCAATAAGAAAGGTTAATTACGGGCGGACACATCACCGGATTAGCGATACAAAGCCACCCCGGGCACACGCTGAGCGACGTCAGCCCGGTATTTGGGGCCCGGTATTTGGGTAGATCATTCCCGAACCCGGGGATCTCGTCCCAGATCAGAACCGCCCTCCAATTATATCATATCATATCTCATCATATCATATCATACCATATGATATCTTATCATATCATGTCTTATCTCATGCCCAAGGCCCAAGACAACCCTAATTCATACAAAGGTATGTGCATTATTTATACGAGACTCATACTCCCACAAACACTAACTTTAGCATCGGAGTCTCTTTTGCAGGTACCACCCCCATCTTGGAGCATCAGCGTACCAGTGAAGGAAGCTCGCCGATCTTACCCGGCGGATCAGCTCTACAGCAAATTTCCGGTAAGAACAGAAGGTAATAAGATTTCATGTCTAATAAATATATTCTCTAAATCGAAATATGAAAAATTTGTTAAAAAGTTATATAATATTGTATTTATTTGTGATTAGAGAGGCCGAGACACTTCGTGCCTCTATTAGTTACACATAGACAAATTTAGAAGTTGCGGATAATTATTTAAAGAGAATATAAGAAAATTTTTTTATATCATAGGATTATATTGATCCATTAAAAAGTGAAAACTAAAAAGATATTTACCAAAATATATTCCCTTTATAATATGTATATATTACATCGCATGAAGTTGAAAAAATAAAATACAAAAAAATAAATTTTGTGATCACTTATACTTTCTTATTTATGATGTTTGAATAAATGGATTAATCAATTTTTTTTAATAAAAGTTGATTTAATAGGAACTTATTTTTTCATAAGCTTAACTTTAAGGTTGTTGAGAAAAAAAATAAAAGAGTTTATAGGAATATTGTAAACTACTTTCATAAATTTAAATAATCAATTTTCATATTTTAAAATTCTCTTCAATCCATCATTTAATAAGACAATTATTTAGAATTATGTAATATCTAATTATCAGAAAGTAATCAGAAAATTATTTAAAGTCTTTCTCTCCAATAAAAGAAAGACTTTAAACCTTATTTTTATACTCTCACTTATCATTTTTTAAATTCGACTTTTTTAACTCATCATGTTCATCATTCTTAAAACCTTTTACATTTATTTACTTTTCCTATTTGTGATTTATTTAATGCAACATTTCTATAAAACTATTATTTCATAAAGCACTTTCTTAAATGAACATATATTATTGACTTAATTGCATTTTTGATCCTTCAAGTATTGTAATTGGACAATTTTGATCCCCAAAGTTTTAATTGGGTAATTTTAGTCCATAAAGGATTGCAATTGTAGAATTTTGGTCATTCAATTTTTAATTGAATAATTTTAGTCCCTCAAATATCATAATTGTGCGATTTTAGTCTCTCTCATTAAAAATTTAATAATTTTAATATATATATATATATATATATAAATACACA